TTTTACCTGCCTTGCTGTATGATGGAAAAACATTTAGCTGCAGATATGGACGTCATCGACTCAAAGCAAGCCGTCATCAGTTGAAGACACACCTTCCAGCTGATAGCCCTGTTGTAATGGAGACGCATATCCTTGCTGCGCTGGGCTGTCGCACCAAGTCCAACCAAGTCAAGTGAAGCCAGCACGTGTTGATAGAATAACGTCATTGCTTTGTAGGCTGCTGATTTTAAATTGTCCATGTTTCCAGACTCCAGCCTGAAGTTGTTGGCTGCAGTGCATGTTTATGGTATCCCGGATGATTCTGGAAATTCATGGTTTCTGGTTGTGGAATATTTCAGTTGTAATTTTGGGTACAGATGCTTCTGTGGATCTGTGACTTGTCTGACTATTTGTTGACCAGCAACCACTGTAAGCATTGAACAGCATCTTAAATTCAACAACAGGACAAACTGCTCACAAGCTTATAAGATAACAAGATGCATAGTATAAATCAGACAAATTTGAAGTTGTTGGAAGCTTGATTTGCTCTCTTTTAAATAAGCTAGGCTAACAGTTTCCCCCTGTTCCCAGTCTTTGTGCTAAGCTAGGCTGAAAATATCTGTACTCTTTTCGTCTGACTGAAGAACGTGGAAAGTTGTTTTCATATTCTTTTATTTGGTCAGTGTAATATTCTTTCACTTTATGTTTTCACAGCACACGATATGAAGTAAAATAAAGGCGTGACACGAGCAGTTTGAACTCAGTGCCAACTGCAGGTCACATCATCACCATTCTTTACTGAAACACTTGACAGAAATGACACAGACTGAGGAAGGAATAGATGTAAAGACCACTGCTGAGTGACAGACAGACAAAGACATGAAGCTCAGGACTTTATGAATGATTAACACTGCAGCAGAGCTGTGCTGATTGAGTTACACGGAGCGTTTTACAGCAATGACCCTCACAATATCTGATGACTGCAGCTCAGCCAAGCCCAACGCCCCTGTAAGACTACAGCAGTGGAAAAAAGTGACGTCCTACAGTAAGCAGCCGTCTCACATGACGTCCAACGCTCTCAGGGCAGGTCTGTTTTCAACCTGTCTCCTATTAAGGTCTCAAAAGAATAAAAGTAAAGTTTGGCTGAAATCTGGTGGACAAGGAAAATTATAGATGTCCAAAAAAGAGACATTTTGAGCTCTCTTGCAGAAGTTCAAGCACATCTATTTGTTATTTTTTACACCCATAGCCAGCAAAATTTACAAACCAAACTTTAAATGTTATTCCTGGGGATTCTTGTTGTACCAGAGTTGCTTCTTTAGTTGTAGTTTCTTCAAAAAGAATATGGTTTCACAAATCTGTTGTGCAATTTAAACCAAAATCCGGCAGAAATGTGACAGAATTGCAGCAAATGTGGAAAAAATACAGCAAAAATTGAGCTAAAATATAAAATACAGCAGTAATAACGGCTATGATGTGGATCATAACAGGATTTCACTAATGTATTTTTGGGCCAGATGTTGTTTAGCCTTGTACATAAGAAGTAAACTCTGTATATCATTTCTGAAATTACACGGGGCAGTAAAAGGGGGCTCCGATAGGGTGATGTGATAAAGCTTCCTTAAATTTGCTCTTTGAATTTTAGACTCTGGCTCAAGTAGGAACAGATGGAGATGCAAGAGTCCAAGTGGGATGAGATAAAAATAATGGATAACTTTATCCAAGACCTAATTTTGGATTTAAGTGGAGAAAGCAGGACTGCACAGCCTTAATGAATTGAGCATCAAACAGCACTTTCCTAATAAAGGTTATTAGAGATTAGGTGGATCGAGTTTGGAGGATTGAATTGAATAATTTCGGATTTATTGTCATTTAGCAGCTGGATATCCAATACTTGTCAAGACTGCTGATGTCACCAGGTGTTGGTGCATACAGATGGTTGTCATTAGCATAAAAATTTATATTAATTTGATATTATACAAAAAAAAAGTCCCCAAGAAGAACCATGTTAACAGAAAAGTATAAAGGACCTAAACTGGAGCCCTGTGGAACACCACATGTGAGATGTGCAGCACAGGAAGAAACATGTTTAACAGAAACAGTGGCTTTTGGTTGTTGAGGTCAGATTTGCACCAGTATCAGAAATGTTGACCCACATCTCAAGATGTAAACAAGAAGTAGTGCGTCCTTTGCTAAGGCTAATGGGATACGTTGTCAGGGCACAGGTTCACTCTGCAGTTATAGAGCTGCTGGTTCTCTGCCGACCTGAAGGTTGAACACTGAAATCCCAGACTGACTGATAAGATCTGAGCAGGGAAAGTGAAGCTGCTTCCGAGCAAGGCATTGTGTGATCCGGTGTCTCCTCTAACAACAGAACCATTGGTTTGGTTCGTAAGAAGTTCAGACAACAGGAGAACAATCAGATCCATCCAAATAAATTAACCAATCCCTGCATTATTTTTTATTAGTATTTCACAAACAGTCAGTTAATTCAGTTCGAAACTGTAAGAAGAACGACTGAAATAAAATCAAACCTTAACCAGAACAAAATAAAATCCTACAGGCTGTCCTCATGCGTTGCTAGTACACATACCTACCAAAAGCAATGCACCAAAATTTGTTTAAAATCCACGTAATCGGGAAGGCTGCAATCACGCTTCCAATACACTGATGGGTGTAAAGAAGGAAGTAGAATAAGAGAGCAATAGTCCATGTAAGCAGGTGGGGGGCGATGGATGGGTCAAACAAACAAAGGACTTTCCCCCTGGAGACCAGTGTTTGTGTCCCTTACATAATTTCACTTGACTAAAATTAGCCAATGTAACTTTACATCAAGTATGTAAGTGGGTTACATAACGTGACAACACACAACAATGTTTCTATTCCTAAACCAAACCTACCTAACTTTACTTGCTTAAACCCTAGCTATTTAACTTTGTGTTAAGTATGTAACATGATGACGTCGTTTGTGGGGTGCCAGTTTGTTAGAAATTATACAAACCATTGTATGAAGATACGTTGATTCTTGAAAAACTCTCCGTCCGTTCAGCTGCAGAGCTTCAAATTTATTTATTTATTTTAAAATTTAACTTTAACCAGAAAAAACTCTCTCTTTTTCAAGAGTGTCCTGGCGGAGACAGGCAGCATCATAAAGTTACAGACATAGAGCAAAAATACAGAATAAAAATGTAAAGCTCTAAAACAAGGAATACAAAAGGCAAAAAAAGATCGCTACAAAGAAAAGCCAAAAAGTATGTTACTATATACTAGAAATGAATCATAAAAATGCAAAAAACAACAACTACACATAATTACAAAGACCAGCTAAGACACACCATGACATAGAGAAGACTGTGCACAAAAATCCTGCAACAGTGCTTTGAAACAGCCGTGGGTAACCAGTGAGTGCAACTTTAAGTCCCTCTGCAGAGGATTCCACACATAAGGAGCTGCAGACAAAAAAGCTCGCTTGCTGAACTCCGTATGTACCCTTGGTACAGACAATAAAAACATGTTCTGTGAACAGAGCCGAGCCATTTTCAATTTAGTCAAATAGAACTGAGGTTGAGCTGGAAAGCAATGTTGCTGTCCACCAGTGATAAAAATGTCAAAACGAGTATTTAAAAGACAAATGTTCCTCAAAAAGCTGCTGAAAGGTGCAGGTGGGATTTGTTCAGAGAATCAGCAGCAGGTGTGCAGAGGGGGACAGGGTCAGGTGGACCTCTGGTGGACAGGTGGTGAATGACAGTGTCTGCAGGGTCTTGTAGTTTTTATAATGTTTGTTGTTTTCTCTACTTTTGTATTTATCTTGTACATTTATATTTATTAGGTCTTTTTGTGGGTGAAAATTTGTGGACCATGTGCATTTATTGTTTGGTTGATTGTTGTTTGTCCAACAAAATAATTGAAGATCAAAAGAAATCTGCCAAGATAAGAGGAGGAGAGATGTTTAACAGTCTTCTAAGAATTTAGTTATTTTTCCTAAAACAGGGAATTATTTTGGAAACGGCTGCAAAATATGGAGTGAAAAATAACCTGAGCTGTCAACCAGCAGGTTTCTCTGCACCTCTGCATATCTTAGACAGAAGGATGAAGGACCTTGAGCTTCAGATATTACACAACACATCCTACACTGCTGCATTTATAACTCTGAATGCTCTCTGTGTTTCTCTGCAGTTTGTTTCATTTTTCTCCTCAGCGACTCTCAGGAAAACCATCCAGCTGATTTAACACGCAATAAAAAAACTGTAGCTCAGACATTAAATCCTCTTTACCTCCTCACACTGACATGGACATTATCTCAGTGTTTCTCTCCTGGTGATGTGCAGTCAACATCATTAAACCTACAGAAAACTGGTTTATAATAACACTTGATATGATATTATCCTGCTCAGGAGAATTAGCTTTGAAGAAACAGTCTGTGCTTGTATGAATTCACACAGGTGTGTAACTCTGCTCTCTGATCCTACATGATGTGGCTAAATGTCCAAGACTGGCAGAAAATGTTGGAGCAGTAGAGAAGTGGTACTTAACATCATAATGTGCTGCGTAATATCCTTGTCAGCTGCTTTGTTGAACGGTAAGGTGTTATGTAATGCTCTGCACCCTTTGCAGCACCTTATGTTGGGTTCAGACTACCAGCCTGAAAAACAATCTTGACAGATGAAGGACACTAGGGATTAAAATGGACATCAGACACGACGGTCAATGGTTTTATACTGTATAGTTTGTCATACAAAACCAACATGGAAGTGCCAAAAACTGCAGTTCCTCTCATGACCACCTGAGGCTGGCTCCAAATCAGTAAGTCCCCAACGACCTCCATGTTTAAATGCCCAACGTAACTCAACGTCTCTAGGAGACATCTGGATGCCTCTGGATGAAGTTTCAACCAACATGGATGAGAAACTGAAGTGCTTCGGACCGTGGAAAATTCAAACATCTCCATTTTTATGTCAGTTGCAACTGTGCAGATTTCACCTGCTGATGAGTGGCCATTACATTTACTGTTTCTGTCTTAGATGAGGATAGTGTGTAAGGACGTGACGCCAGAGACGCTGTACGATGTCCTCCACGACACCAGCTACCGCAGGAAGTGGGACACCAACATGATCGACACGTATGACATCGGCAGGCTGACCGCCAACGCGGACGTCGGATATTATTCCTGTGAGTTCAGCTCTGATGTGAAACTACCTCAGCTAGCATCAATACATCACCTCTCTGTGGATTTATATAATTTCTATGTTTATTTCTACAGTTATAGTGTATTCTAATGTTTTTGTGTTGTTTGAAGGGAAATGTCCGAGCCCTCTGAAGAACAGAGACTTTGTGACGATGAGATCTTGGCTTCCTCTCGGCAACGACTACCTGATCATCAACTACTCCGTCAAACACCCAGTGAGCATTTTTTTAGGCTTACCTCCATCTATGCTGTCGTCTTCACAGAGTTTGTTATAAATAGTGTTAGTTCAGGCAGGACATGATGTCATCTGATAGATCACATGATTCCTTTCTGCAAATCTCACTCAGGGTGCCCTATTTAAACTGCTCTGGCCTACCTGCTGTTGCTGCTTCCTCTGCTAGCCACTTTGCAACCTGCCTTCACCCCAGCTCCTCCTTTTCATGTTGTGTCTGACTTAGCAGTCAGTCATTTCTGTTTGTCATTGATGCTGCTCTGTTCTGTTCCTGGGGGGTCTTTACTGCTGCTCTCCCTGCCTTAGGCTTTCCATGTAGGCGTATGGAAGGGCAGGGATGTGTGCTCTCTGCCTCGGGCTTTCCCCGATTGCATGTGGAAGGGCAGAGAGGTGTGCTCTCTCCGCTTTAAGGTGCTGACACACCAAACCGAAATCAAAGAACCAGCGGCGACGAAAGCCAACTGCTGCATCGTCTACGTCGCCTCACGTCGCCCTGTGTCAGCTGCATTTGAACACACTACACGGACTACATCCGACAGCCAAGTAGCACGTACGTTCTGCGCCTGCGTGAGAGAGAGCGGAGTGAGAGAGTGGTACATCCTGTCAGCCAAGGGGTTTCCTATCTGTGCAGCCGAGCACCGCAGCACCTCCACGGACTATTACATCCAGAAGGTCCCGGTGTTTCCTCCGCAGGCTCCACTTCACTCAGCTGCCCGATAAACCCGCTGCTTCTTCCCACTTATAACAAACTAACAAACCAGGGCTCGGTGCTCCGGTTGGATCCAAACGGAGAGCCGGGGCTAGCTCAGAGACTAGAAGAGGCTAACTGGCTGTGCTTCCCTCGGTCATGCTGCGGCTAACGCTCCGCTAGCCGCTCCCAGCTAGCCCCAGCTCTCTGTTTGGATTCTCTCTGACGCCAAAGTGCCGACGGTACGGGACACACTGCAAAAACTAGGCCAACAGACGCTCACCGACGGCCCGACTTTGGTCGATGGCCAACCGTCAGCTTGGTGTGTCAGGACCTTTAGGCTTTCCGTGTAGGCCTAGGAAAGTCAGAGAGGCCCCAGAACAGAGCCATGCCGCCAAATATAATACTGCAAGTGGAAATAAAGTTTGCTTTGACTAAAGTGGTCCTGACTGAAGTACACTCCAGGCAGAAGTAAAGCCACAGTTTTCAATTAGAATAAATATTATTTAACTAAACTTGTTTTTCAGAAACCCTTAAAGTCTGTGCTGTCTGCCGGACATTAAAGCAGGTTTATAACCTGTTTCACAAACTAACGCTCTGTTTGTTTAACCACGCTGTAACACACACAGTGACTTCTGGTTACCACAAGGTAAGATGATAAAAAGCTGGTTTGTTACCAACTAAATCAGCTTTTTCCAAAGGAGGTGCAGTGGGACCCTGGGGAGCCTTAGAGCTGAGAGTGCCCCAAGATTTATGTCAAAACACATAAATGAGCTTTAAACTTGTGTTTTCTGACATTTAGGTTTGCCAGGTTCACAGCCAGCAGAAACAGAAACTGTCAGAGCAGTGATGTAAAGATCTGTCACTTTAACTATCATGGCCCAAAATACAGTCTGTGACCCCAATACCAGAAACAAGAACAGAAATCAGACTGAAAGATTCCAGATTTTAGAGGAGAGATGACGCTGACTGTCTCATATTGTCGCCTGGTTTTGAGACAAAACACCTCAATTTAACCAGCAAATAAAACATACATACTTGGACAGGATGCAGTGTTACTAAAGGTTTGGGGAGTATGTATCTAAAGCATCCTTTCTGGGACTAAGACTCCACATTTAGCTGCAGTAGAGATGCATGAAAGGGTTCTGCAGGACTGTCAGTGTGAGTTTTAGTTTAGAGTAAAAGGCGATCACCAGAGAGCTTTAAAGCTTATGGTTCCCTTTGCAGCTGGATTTAGTGCTCTCATTTGCATGAAACTAAAATACTGGTCCAGGTTAAACGCTATATGCTCAGGCTCTGAAAAAAATTAGATGTAAATTCAGCTTAGAGACAAAAAAATCTTCATGTTCAGCAGATGTTTCCTGGTGTTTAAAATTCTAGGTCACTCCATTGTTTGTACGCCCTGAAAACTTAAATGTACACAGTTCTGAATCGCATCAAACAGCATCTTAACACAGTGTGAACCAGCCTCTAAGCAAGACCTTTAAAATGAACAGGTCTACTCTGTGTGTCTCCTCAGCAACATCCTCCTAAGAAGGACTATGTCCGAGCCGTGTCCCTGTTGACCGGATACCTGATCCAGTCCAGCGGAGCCAACTGCTCCACCCTCTACTACCTGACCCAGATGGACCCCAGAGGTGAGACAACACAAGAGGCTGACACATCAACGTAACACACTCTTCAGACACAGATAGCGCACTAAACATAAAGTCATTTTACTGGTTTACAGTTTGAATGTAGAAGAGATGAGAAGACAGTCAGTTGGTAGTGTGTGTGTGTGTGTGTGTGTGTGTGTGTTGGAGCAGAAACAGGAAGTCTGTGTGTTGCCTCCAGCCAGTAAAAACACTAAGAAGCAACTTTTACCAGTTTGCTGAAGTCAGCTTTTTGCACACATTAATTATGTCCTGAGGTGTGTGTGTGTGTGTGTGTGTGTGTGTGTGTGTGTGTGTTATATAGTGTGAGCAGATGTGTATTAACTAGTACACCATGATTAGACTGAGCTGTGCATAGTGCAGTTACACAAGTACAAACACACGTTAGTCACCCAAACTGTGATTGTAAAGTCCCTTTGTTATAGTGTTAAAGTATCTTTAAACCATTTGTTGTTTAACTTTATCCTGAACTTAACTGAATCTTTACCTTTTAACTAAATCTGATCTCTCAAACGGCCCTTAAGGGAGTGAGGTCAAGACAAAAAGTCCCAAAAAAGTCACCACTATCCTAAAATGTCCTCACTTTTAAAAAACATCACTTTTTAAATATGTCTATGATTTCTCAAAACATCATAGCTTTCTAAAAATGTCATAACTTTTCTAAAAATGTCCATAATTTCTGAAAATGTCTATTATCTCTAAAATGTCATCTCTTTTAAAATGTCCTTCACTTTTTAAAAATGTCATCACTTTGAAAAAAAAGATCACTTTCTAAAGCCATAACTTTCTAAAAATGTCTATAATTTCTAAAAATGTCACTTTATACATTTTGCTTCACTTTCACAAAAAACATAACTTTCTAAAAACATCCTCACTTTCTAAAATTGTCCATAATTTTTAAAGATATCACCACTTGGTAAAAATCACTCATGTTGTCCTCTCTGTCTGCAGGTTCGTTACCAAAGTGGGTCGTGAACAGAGTTTCTCAGTTTGTGGCTCCAAAGGTAAAATCTTTCTTCTGTAAATATGAGATAAATATTTTTATCCACCAGAGAAACCACCTGTCTCTTCATCGAGTGTGTCCTCACTGTGTCTTCGTCCTCTCAGGCGATGAGGAAGATCTACAAGGCGTCTCTGAAGTACCCAGAGTGGAAAAGGAAGCACAACCCGAACTTGAAGCCGTGGATGTTTCCGGAGCAGAACTCGCTGCCGTGCATCAACGTGTCGGAGCTGACGGTGCAGCGAGCCGACTCCCTGGAGAACATCGACGAGAGCGGACTGAGCGAGGACAAGACGCACAACAGCGACGACGATGAGACTTAAACAGACTGAAAACACGACGTCTCATTTCCTGTTTGTGGGTTTGTTTGTTTGTCACAGTGATGAGAGCCGGACGAGACTTCAGCGGGACTCTGACTGTTTTTATCTGCACATACGTTTGTTCTTCTGTCGTCACTCTGTTCTGTCACATCAGCTCCAGATCTGCTCCAGTGACGTCTGTAGATGTTCAGTGTTTCACAGATTTACCAGTTTAGACCAATAAAGACACCTGGTTCAGGTGAGGCAAAGATGGTGGTCATGATTCAAGTCTCTGCACGTCCTCACAGGTGTTCACAGGGGATCTGCTCAGGTTAAAGGTGGGCGGAGTTAAAATGTAAATGAGTGAGGTCACTAAACTGTATGTACCAATAGCTGGATTTTTTTCTGTAAAATGGAAGTTGTTGTTAAATTAAATTGGAATAAGAAGATGAGAAGACAGGAACATGTAATGTAACGGGGCTGCAAATAATGATTTTTTTTATTATCAGTGAATCTGCAGATTATCCATTAATTGATCTATTAAGTGTTACAAACTGTGAAAAATGCAGTTTAAAATTTCCCGTAGTCCACAGTGAAGCACAGGATTATCACAGGATTGACTAATCGTTGCAGCTCCGTAGAGGAGCAGTCAGTTAAGACATTACAACTCACAACATGTAGAAACAGGACTTTACATAAGACTAAACACAGTTATTATACTGTATAGTTTTTCAATTAAGGTTGACCATGTCAGACAAAAGGCCAGAAATATACTTGTTTTTTAACCACGTGTTTGCGTAAACAACCTGCTGTGTCGCAGTTGGGAGAAATTTTCCTCGATGATTTTCTACCAGAAAGGGATCTCTTGGTTAAGGTCGGGAAAAAAGTTATGGTTTGGGTTAAAATGAATGGATTTCTGTCAGACAGGGCTCTCTGGGAGAAAGCCTACAAGGGAAACTTCTGCCATGTGCAGCTCTGTCTTCAACAGAATATTTAACATACTTGTAATGCAGGCTACGACGTGTGTTCCTGGAGGATTCCACCAGAGGGCGCACCAGAGACTTTAAAATTTACAGAAAAATAAACATGGCGACTCTTGAGGAGGTTAATTTATTGTTAATTTTGAGATAAGTAAGCGACGGAGGCGCCAACGTAGCCTGAGTGTCAGACTGAAGCTCCCAGAACCTCCAGTCTGACATGGCTTCCATTGAAGGCGATTTACAAGGGGGAGGGAATTTGATTTTTTCCCTAACCAATCAGTAGAGATCAACGACTCACCCAGAATCTGACATCATTAGTATCCATGCCTCGGGGGTGCCGAAAACAAGCGAGCATTGCCCGTTTAAAATGTCTCCGTCGTCGTGCACGCCCAGCTGCATCGCCGTTAAATCCAGTTTAGCAGCTTCCTTAATTTGGTCCTCCATTAACGCGAGTAGTGGCAAAATACCTCGATAGCATCGTTAATGTGGTCTGTAGGATCTGTAGCGGTCGCCATTGTTGCTATCCTCACCAGTTACCCACCGGTGTACAGCTTGACATCAGCGTGGTGCTGATTGGCTAATCGCTAGACCCCCAGCGTTCAGTGGTCCGTCCATCGTTTGGACGAGATAAATTGCAAATTCATTGCAGTGTGCCAGACCGGAGACGCAAGCCTACTCAGTTGAGTGGGCGGGGTCTATGGTCTGGAACCAGGCTAGCGCCAACGCAAATAGTGTGTAAGGCCTTTAAATCAAGCACGTCATGACAACGGTGAATATGAGTGTGTCTCAAATCGCTAGCTAGTGAATGCTAACGTTAGCACTCGTATCATTGTTTGTGGTACCAAATCATTACTGACCCAACAAACATTACTACAGCCTTTTTTTGACAACAGTTTTGGTACTTAGTGTAAAATTCGTGCAGGCTATAACTAACAGACTCCTTGTCGTCCCCAGCCACCATGTCAAGAGTCGAGAAGTTTGCTTCGTCACTCAAAATATTAAGTGTTTCGTAAAGACGTATGAGATCTGAGACACTGTATGTTTCTCTCGTTCTGACAACACTGCCCCCTACTGTTCATGTACATACAGTATCACATTCATTTCACTCGACAAGTTTCTGCTTAAAAAACTTCTGAAGTTGAGACATTGATTTAAGTTTCTGCTGCTAACATCTTGATACCGATGATGGAAGACAGATCTGGAGCTTTGACAGCTCCTCTTTAAAACCCTGTAACCCTCTAATGTATTCACGAGACTGATTTATGATGTTGTGAATTTCAGGTTAATCTCTCTAAGTATTATTCTATGATGGGTATTCTTTATATTTTAGAGGTGATAATCTGACAGACACGGTGAAGAAACATAAACATAATTTGATTTTTATTCAGTTTCAGTAAATACTGTTGACTCTTGTCTAAACTTCCTGTGACCTTCTGAACTCTGATCTTTTATTAAAAGTTGAAAATATGATTTGTTCTTGTTGAATATCAGATTAAAACAAGTGTGAATGTTTGTAAAAATCCTCCAGGTCTGAGATTTTATATCAGAAAACCAGCCTCATGTTTTAACCTTAAAGTTTATTGATTATTGATGATTTAATCAAGTATAGAACTGTTCTGTGTGAGTCTGCAGCGCCCTCCAGTGGACAGATGACTTCACTACAGCCTGAGCTTTAATGAGAGAAAACAACCTAAACAAATCTCCCCAGTTCTTCTACTTTAAATTAAGATTTAAATTAATGATGATATATTTTGCTTTAGTTTATTAAACCAGCTTCATGTTCAGATCAGCTGATTTGAATCTGCAGCAGACAGATTGGAGCATCTCTTCTGCACAAATAGTATTTGTCAATCAGTTTCTGCTTTTATCAATAAAGTTGATATTTTCTGTCAAATATTTGTTCAGTAACATCTTATTATCATTCTTATCATTGATAACAGCACGTTCAGACTTTTAAAGATGATTTCATTCCGTTTAGCTTTCACTGTAAATTCGTTTGTGTGAAGAATCTTTGCCAGTATTGGTTTTTAAAGTAACTAAAGTTACATTATGATTTAATGCAAACAGCGCAATACAAACACTACAAAACACAAAATGTAACTAATTACATTTACTCAAGTACTGTACTTCAGTACAAACATCCCTTAAAAGCTTATAATATCTAAATTCTGGGGGAGGCAGTAGCTCAGTCCATAAGGACCTGGCTTGGGAACAGGAGGGTCGCCACTTCAAGTCCCCATCCAGACCAAATATGGAGTGTGGACTTGTAGCTGGAGAGGTGCCGGTTGGCCTCCTGGGCACTGCGGGGGTACCCCTGAGCAAGGCACTGAAACCCCAACTGTCCTGTTTGTGCATGTGTGTGTATTTCAGGCCTGGGTGTGAATGACAACAGAGTGAAAAAAAAAAAAATTCTCCCTGGGGATTAATAGGGTATATTCCCTTCTTCTTCTTCTTCTTCTTCTTCTTCTTCTTCTTCTTCTTCCCTCAATTTATCAGATTAGTCCCAACCCCCACTAGGGGTCGCCAAAGCTTAATGGGCAGGTCAAGAGGCCTGCTTGAGTTTAATTGGTATAAGAAAACCTTTTAAAAAATATACAGTTGACCAAATCTAAAAACTAAATGAAATTGTTGTTCTTCAAGTTTAAAGTGTTAATATTTCAGATATTTAAAAAAAAAAAAAAAGAATGTCACTGGATAAGAGCTCATGAATACAAGCTATATTCACTGAGCCTTCACTCTCTGCTGAAAGAGCCTCGTCCTGCTTTAGAAAAATATGCGGTTAAAACAACCAAAAAGCTTAAAGAACAATGTCAGGGAGAAGAAAACACTGAATTTGCTGAAAAAAGAAAAGGAGCCTGTGATATATATGATGCCCATTAAAAAATACAAAATATAGACCATTATATAACAAGTTCCAACTTGTTCAACTCTGATTTAATCACAGGAGATACTTTAATTTAAATTAAAATTAATCCAAATTGTTCACTTTATACAAACGTCCTGCAGTTATTGTGTTCACTATTTGCGTTAATTGAACAGGTGATCAATCACTTGTTCTTCATGCCATTGTGTGCATTGAATACAATATGAAATACCCATAAAATATGTCACTTGGTCAGGGGGGCGTCACTTTACTCAATGATATGAAAGAAAAGGGGTCTCTTCAGGAAAAAGGTTTGGAACCACTGGATTAAGAGGACAGCTCACTTAAACTTTAAGTTAAGGTAATTTAAAGTTCCTTAATCATGAATCAAATTCAGCTGTTTAACCCTTTAAAGTTTCTGATTGTGTGATCATTTCATCTTAATCTGAGTATTTAAAGCATCTTTAGAAGCTTTTACAGAATAAAAGACTGAAATCATAAACAACTCATAAACTAAATCTACTTTAAGCCTTGAAAGAAGCCACAGCAGAGAGATCTGTTGGTACCACGCAGTTCATGAGTTATCAGCTGTGTCAGACCACATGATGGCGCTATAGATGTTTGAATATGTCAAACACAAGGTGAGAGAAAACCTCTGTACCAGTGGAGGCACCTTCACTTCAGTATGTGATGCATTGAAGATGTTTAGATGCTGACGTTTGTGTTATTCTCTGAAGTCTTTAATGATTTATGTGAAACCATGTTGGATTGTTACTAAAGTCACAGAAAGCCTGATGGATTTTATTTTCTGTGTTGTGTGACAGTGAAAATGTGTAAGAAGATTTGTGATCAGTGATCAGTGATAAATAAATGTCTGAGATGAAATGAGAAGTAAAACCAAGGTGGTCGAAGACGTCTGCAGGTCGATCAGCTCTCTGAATGTGTTGCAGTGAGTTCCTGCAGGCGGCTGCTGAGGGTGTTTTTCCTGCGGTGATGAGGAAACTTTATGTGCGACTGCTTCCTTCTTCTTTGGTGCCTGAAAAATGCAGCTGGACTCCGGATCCTCTCTGCGCTGTATTGTCTCAGGCACTTCCTGTTTCCTGTCTGCACAGCTCTGATTGTTGTTTGGGCAGCGAAGAGGAAACTGTCCAGCTTCTTACTGCTCACAGAGGACAGGACGCAGTGTCCAACTGCTGCTCAGAGTTCTGCGTATTAGTATCAGTACGACACAGGAGTCCTAAGTATGAGCACATTCATTCAGTCCCTGTGCCTCACCTCCCGCCACTACAAGACTACTGTACTAGAAAGTTTGCTGATCAGCGGGGAGTCAGGAGGGTCAGCCCCAGCCCTGGGTCTTACCCTGGCTGTATTTTAGCGGCTACAGCTGCTGACTGAAGGTCCATCCAAAATATGAAAGCACTAAATTTGATGGATTTACTGATATCTGTCCACAAATGAGAAAAGAATTAGCTAGCACACCCTGCGGTCCTTTCACCTCACTCCCTGCGGCTTGGAGACTACTTTGCAGGAGAGTGGACGACAGCTCAGGAGACAGACCCACAGTCAGCGACTGTAGTAACTCGAATTCAGCCAGCGCATGCCCCATCACTGGGGCCCTGATCCTGGATTGCCCTGACTCCTGCCAGATCTGCAAACTTTCTGTTGCTGCTGTTACACAGGTGGGCCAGTGCTGCCATGGGCCCCCAGCTCGCTGTGACTCTTGGGGTCTCATTTATAAACATTGCATACGTACAAAACAAGGCCCGAAAGAGGCTTACGCCACTTCCTACACAGAAGTTGTGATCTATAAAAACAGACTTGATGGGAGACCCACGCTTATGAACACGTTGGACACGGGAAATTGGCAGTGCAGATGGTGAGGTGGAAGCCTCTTTGTAGAAACTGTCAAATGTCTATTGGTGTATGCCATTTTATTTTTCACATGGATCCTACGTATTGTTTTACAAATGAGAGCCCTGCTGAGGCTGGGGGAGCACAAGGTGCAATAGCTAGTTAATACGTGTCTCATTTGTGGTCTGATAAACAGTATATTCAACTAATTCAGTGCCCCATATTGCTATTTTGCAAGCAAGTTTGAATGCAGCCACAGACTCACAGCAAAGAAGGCTCGCCCCGCCAGCTCTGTGATTGGATATGGAAATGACATTCCTGAAAGAGTGGCCAAATAAAAGGTTACTCTGAGCATCCCCATTGGTTATTAAGGAGGTAGTGTCAAAGGCGGGACAAAAGTTGTACTTGTAGGTTTGATTCCTTGCTGTAAATTTGGGATTAACACACACAGCTGAGTTCTTTTTTGATGTTTTTCACCCACAAGCAGACCGATGTAGTCTGGTGCTACATGGCAAATATATTATTTTATAATATTTTAGCTGCAGCTGCAAATATGATGTGTATATGCAAACCTCAGAAATCACTATTTTCCAGTCTGTGACGCCAGGGATCAGCAGCCCGGGGCCCCACTCCCACCTGCCACCCGGCACACAATGCACCAAACCCTGATTCCTGTCCCTGCAGGTGGTGGGCCTACAGGGCAGTAACTCCGTTATTTCTTCAGGTTGAGCCCGACCGAGCCCCTTGGCCCAAGGCCTGGCCACCAGAAGCTTGCTGGTGAGCCCCCCTCCCAGGTCTGGTTCCGGAGGGGCCTCAGTGTCCCCATACCGAGTGAGGTGCTCTTCTTCTTGAACCACTCCTAGTCTGGCCGCTCTCTTGGGACCACTTTGCCTTGGGAGACCCAGGCCCTGGACAACACAGCTCCCAGGTTCACAGGGACACCCAAAACCCTTCCACCATGTTAAGGGGGCGACTCTCGGAGGAAACCCCGGGGCAGACCCAGAACAAACTGGAGGGATTATATATCTCATCTGGCCTGGGAACACCTCGGGGTCCCCCAGGAGGAGCTGGAAAGCTTTGCTGGGGAGAGGGACACCTGGGGCGGTTTGCTCAACCTGCTGCCCCTGAGACCCGGCCCTGGATAAGAGGATGAAAATGTATGGATGGATGGACTACTTTCCAGTGACAAAAAATGAGATCAGTTCACCCCAAAACTGTTCTGGTGGGATATCAATCAATCAATCAATCAATCAATCAATCAATCAATCAAGAATGCAGCAGTTCAATTGATTTATTGGTTAGGAGAAGATTGTTCATACAAAAAGTTTTCATACATTCTGATATGTTTATACACACCCAAAATACTTTTGACCATACTTTCCATACACTCATCAATGTGGATTTTATTTGGGGACAAACCGGAAGCAGTTTGTGGCAGCTCGGCTTTTATTTTGAAACCTCTAACCGGAACGTGTAGCGGTCATTATTGTGTCTAACTTGACGTCATTCAGAGCAGAGCGGAGTTTCTCCTCCCAGAGTTCCCAGTGTGACTGAGAGCGGCTCCGGACTTTACTGGCTTACTCACTGGGACAGAAATCTGCAGAGACCGGAACCCAGAACCAAGGACCCATAACCCAGGACCCAGAACCAGGACCGGGACCAGAACCAGGACCCAGAGCGGATCAGAGGTGAGTCTCTGTAAATGTTTGGAGTGTGATTGAAGCGGACTGGATGTGAGTCGGTCTGTGAGTCCTGCAGGAAGCGGCTCGTCCTGCTGTCTGTCCTCCACAGTCCTGACAGGGTCTCTTCTTCTTCTCTGGATCTGAGTTCTGGAGTTTTTGGAGTTTTGGGTTCCTCTGTGTGACAGCGTGAAGTGACAGAGTGACGCAAAGAGGAAGTTTTGGCGCAAACTGGAGCACAGATGCGTCTTTGATGTGAAACATGAATAATTCAGAGACAGAGAGCAGCCGGGTCTTTATCATGATATCTGTGATCGTGTCTTTACAATGAACCTGTGAGTGTGTGTGTGGTGGGGCTGAGGTGTGTGTGAGCTGCAGGTGTTCCTCTAAACCTTCAGTCTGTCTGAGGAAACTGTGAGACCAGTTGCAGACTGGTTGTGGTGGTCAGATCCAGCAGGGTGGAGCTGGAGGGTCTCTGCAGGACTGAACTGAACATTTATTTTTAGCGTTTGTGTTAATAGTTTTTCCATGAATCCAAAAGACAGAGATGACTGTATGTTGACCTAAAACACGCCTGACAGTATTTTCAGTATTTCTTTTTCCCAGCACCTTATGATTTATTCAAACACAGCCGTTGGACAGTTAATAAAATCAGAATAAATAAAATAAAACTAAGAAGTCAATGAAATTATTATCATTGAGTTATTACAGACTTAACGTTGGGCTGCACATTTATTTTTGTTATTTCAGTATTTTGTTAAAAAAATGTGTAAAAAAATCTTAGTCACACAGATGCATAAACAGTACATTAATATTAATATAAAGCAGTTATGATCATTGCTTAAAATAACTGTACACAATAACAGCAGAGACATTAAAGGGACGCTTTGCTCATTTTCAACCAGCTCTGTGTCATTAACAATGTAGGTGATCTGTAGGGAGGGGAAGGACAGAGGACCCAGGGTACGATATTTTTGCGATATGCTGAGTATTGAGATAAAATAAATTACTTTTTTCCAACTGCAAATAATTTCCCCAAAGGGAAAACTTTGTCAACATCAGTTTTCAGTCTGTTCACCTGAATGTTGACACCCATGTTAGACGTGTTGTCTGTTTCATTCTTGTGCTGCAGGAGGTCTGCAGTGTTTGCTCCGCTGTGACTCTGGTGTCCTGCTGAAGTCCAGGCGTCACCGGTTTACGCCACCCTTCCTGCTGCTCTCAAAGATTCCTCAGCTTAATGCTTCACTTGTCAGTAGAGCTTGGGTACGGCTGTTTTGGGGGCGGAGTCACATACCTGGGTTCACATGTTTTTAGCATGTTACCAAAGCCTTGGTTTTCAATGCAGATCTTTGCACAGGAAGTAGGTGATGGACTGTGTTGTTTTCTTCGCAGTCTCACAGTTGATGGTAGTTGCGTCGAGCTAAGTGTGTTCAGTGTTGGTTGATTTGTCGTCAGAGTGGGTTTGGCGTTAGCTAAGCCGACACTACCTCTGGATGGTGGAATGTGAGGTGAGCCCTCATGTTCGTAGTATTTTATCCTCATTTGATACTGCTGTAAATCTCATGTGTCATATCCAAGTCCTCCTTTCCGATATTTGATTTAAACACCGAAGACACATTTCGGCACATCCAATTTTTTTTCTCAGGTGCCTCCATCTTTGTTTTGATGAGGTGTTTACACGAACACAATCCTCTGAAAATGGAATTGTTTCTCATTTTTGTTTTGAAAAAAGTTCCGCATTCAGACAACAACGTTTAGATAACAATCACCGTGCACACGGATCCGCAAAAATGACTGAAAACGCTGTAGTACACATGCCAGGCCAGTAGTTGGTGGTGTGACTTTGTAATGAAACAACACACACCTGAGAACATGCGCTTCCTTCTACAGAGCGGTGATGATGGACACACAAAATGGCAACCGCACGAACGTTCGTCTGGACGGACAATGAGGTGGAACTGCTACAGTAAATAAATAAATAAATTCAACAGGGTGAGCAGCACAAACAGAGCTCAGGAGTCCGCCATTGTTGTTGTGATGGTCGACTTTCTCGCGCATACCTAGTGACTGGAACCGTAATGAGCATGTGCGAAAAGTCTCCATTTTCAGAGGAACTGCATATTGCAAGTTTACATGACAACAAAATTGCACTCTGGAACCCGTTTTCAAAATGTTGCGTTTGTAGGCACCCAAAATGCCGCTGTCGTGTAAACGATCGGCCAAAACGCAACTTAAGTTTACCGTTTCTGGTTGAAATCGCTGTCGTATAAACGGGACATGAGACATCTACTGACCTCACCGGGAAAAAAACATCCGCACCATTTAGTGGACCGAAAGTACCAAAAGTTATATTTAAGTGTGTATTTCCAAAAATTAATAACGCATATAATAAAAGATCAATACTTGGCGTCTTTGTCTTGATACAATATCGCCACGCAAAATATCACGATACTGTGGTGTGGCGATTTTTTTCCCCCCACCCCTAATGACAACGGCCAAGCTCCCATTACAGACAACCTCACATTATGTCACCCACCAGCTGGAGGGCGGTGCAGTGCATTCTGGTAGTTGTAGGTTCTCTACCTCTTAAGCAAAAGCAAATGCTGCAGCTCTTTTCCTCCGTTGTCTCCAGTCTTGTAGCACCAGTTTTAAAAGTATCTGCATCTTCATCCTGCACAGACGGTCAAGTTTTATGAAAAGAGCATCTTTCCAGTGGTGAAACACTTCTTTAACGCAGCCTATATTGTCTCTGATATATAATTATATCACCAAACATTTATTGATTGTCAGATCAAAACACTGGATAATAATGAGGATGATGATGATAGTGATGAAGAGTTTGCCTGAGCCTCAGAGCAATAAGACTTTCAGTGAGATGTTGAGGCGTTCACACGCAACACAAACATCCTGCAAAGAGGAAACTCTGCTTCCTGTTTAAGCTGAAACTTCACAATAAATCTGAAGTGAGATTCTTCATCTTGTGGCAGAGTGGACGCACTGAGACTGAGAGGAGAACCTGAGTGAGTGGTGAGCTGACTGATTGATTTTAAACTCTGTGAAATAAAAGTTACCTGATGCAGTTCATCCTTCACAGCTGCTCCAAATATGGATGTGTTTCCGGGAGGTTTGTCAGTAAAGTTTCTTAAACTGATCCAGGGTGATGTCAGTGTGGTGATGTCACTGAGTCTGATGAGTCAGATGGACCAAAAGTCATCAATGAACAAAAGGAAATCCACAATGACACAAGGTATCACAATGACACAAGGTATCACAATGACACAAGGTATCACAATGACACAAGGTATCCGAAACAATCTAAATATTATTTTTCATGCTGATACTGCCGTAGTGTCACGATGTAAACTCATTAGATCTGTTAACAATCTTTTCTACAAACTTCCCAACACTTTTATTTCTATCTCCATCAGAAACTCATTAGCCAGAAGAAAATGTTGCCATTCTACGTTTCTGCAAACCACGGATATGTGATATATCATACACAATATCATATCATATTTCTGAAGTGACATATTCTGATTACATGTAAATGAGCTGACTTTGTCATCAGGACATCGCAGGGTAGACGGCTGGCCTAGGTGAGACTGCTGCCGAGCTGCAGACCACTATTCAAAACCAACAAAAGACAAAACTGATTGTCATTTAGCAAGACAACACGACTACTGCGGCACCAACTGGATATTTGTAAGCCAAAGCGTGATCTTTTTTCTTACTATAACCAAGTGGTTATAGTGCCTAATCATAACCACACGTTCACCACAGCGTTTTTAAAACATAAACATACATTAAGTTTCAACATATTTGTCAAATATCAGTGCACAGATGTTACATGTCAGTGGTTTTCAGACATGAAAAATGCCAACTTTTATTCAGTTTAAAGGGTAAGTATGGTATTTTACAACCTGGACCTTATTGTCACATGTTTTTGTGTCTAATTGACTAATAAGAACAATAGATATATATATATTTTAAATCAGTCCAGTATTGAGCAAGAGCACTGCAGCTTGCAGCAGCAAAACAGACTGCAATGTAATCCATGTGGGCAATTGAGCACCGTCAGTGTACGTCCATTTAATGTGTGTTTTTGTCACAGACAGGCTCAGATTGTTATTCAAAGTGTCTGACAACATTATGAAAGGATCCTTACAGAGATAGACCTTTTTGTTAAAGAGTGAGATCCTTTTTTGTTTAACTATAACTCACTATCACCAAACCCACCAGACTCCATTTAAATAAACAGTAATTTTAGCGTGTATAGAAGCAGCATGTTTTCACATCTAACTGGGTGAGTTAAGGTTTAATTAAACTAAACCAGAGTTGGTGATTGTTGGAACAGTGAAGAGATTAAGCAAGGTGGCTTTTGTGAGTTTTATTTTATTTCTGTTGACTCTGAATGAAATGTGTTTTTTGATGATAAAATTACTGATTATTTAAATGGAGTCTGGTGGGTTTGGTGATGGTGATTTCAGGGCCATTTCTAGTCAAACAAAATGGATGTTAACTCTTTAAAAAAGGGTCTATCTCTGTAGGGATCTTTCCATAATATTGTCAGACACTTATTATAACAATCTGAGCCTGTCAGTGACAAAAACAAACACTTTAAATTGATGGTACGAACATGCCGAGTGGTTACACCGCAGCTTGTTTTGTGGCTGCCGGCTGCTCAATGCTGGATGAATTTCAAAAGATGTTTGTTCCCATTAGTCACGTAAACACAAAAACATTTGAACATAGGGCCCAGGTTGATACTGAGGTTACCCTTTAAGAGTGAAGTCAGTGTGTCTGTGTCGAGTGACTACATGAGGTGTGACTCTGTCCTGTTTGCCCGAGCAGGTGCGTTCGTCATCCTTCAGTCAGCAGCTTTACTGTCAGACAGAAAAGTTTTCACATCATTGACAGTGTTAACGACATCAGCTGATTACAACAGCAGTTACATCACACACACACACACACACACACACACACACACACACACACACACTCCATCCTGT